AAATGCATGTATGAAGGATTACCAAGATGATGAATGCCAATTGCTCCTTATTAGATAACAGCATTTAACATTTTCACTGTGAGAGGATCATTTTAGCTATTTTATGTGTCTCTGAATGTCATTTTCTATTTTTAAAACTTGAGCCAATGTTAGAATTCTATCACCAATTCCTCAAATAGCATTTCTCCCTTAATATAGTATTTCTAAAGATGCAAGTTTTTAAAATTCAGCATTTCAAATAGGACAGACAGTTCTAGGCATTTAAAAAGGATCCCAACTCTTGCTCTTGATCCTTACGATTTTTTCCATTCTTCAAAAATATTTACTGACTTCCTGTCTTCATAAAAAAAGCCAGTGTTGTTGTATACCATCAAGTCAATTCCGACTCATAGTGACCTAATGTGGCAGAATGGAACTGCATCAGAGGGTTTTCCAGGCTGTAATCTTTATGGGGGTCGATCACCAGGTCTTTTCTCCCACAGAGGAGCTGATGGGTTTGGAGCACCACCTACCTTGGTTAGCAGCCAAGCACTTAACTTTTGTGCCGCCCTCCCCTTCCAGTTGATGCTGACTCATAGTGACTCTATAGGACAGAGCACAACTGCCCCATAGGGTTTCCTCGCCTATAATCTTTATGGAAGCAGACTGCCACATCTTTCTCCCACAGAACAGCTGGTGGGTTTGAACCACTGCTCTTTCATTTAGCAGCCCAGTGCTTAAGCACTGCACCATCAGGCCTCCTTCATTGCTCCACCAAACCAAAACACCAAACTCACTGCCATAAAGATGAGTCCAATTCATAGTGACCCCCACTGGGATTCCAAGGTGTTGAATCTTTATGGAAGTAGATTGCCCCATCTGCCTTCCACGGAGCAGCTGGTGGGTTTGAATCGCCAGCCTTCTGGTTAACAGTCAAATGCCTTAGGCACCATGCCACCAGAGCTCCTTAAGTGATCCACCAGGGCCCCTTAAAAGCCAATAAGCAAGAACAAATGAAGCTGATGGTCCGGGGAAGCAAACACATGAGGAGGTTGGGGTCCATATATAGGCAGGTAAGGATATAGGCTTCTGAGTTAGGAGATGGTTTGCATATAGCATGATTGAGGTACTGGGAGCCAGTTTTACCACTATTGGAGAAGATAGATACAACTATAGGAAGGGAGAATGCTTGAACAAATCCTATGGTGTTGGGTTAGCAATGGAAGTATTGGTGTGATCTCATAGTTAGTGTGTGTGTGTATGTATGTATACAGATAAATTTAAATGTATATGTGTATGCAAGTGTGTGTGTGTGTGTTTGTATGTGCAAATATATTTCCTAGTTATGGCAACAGAAAGATAATGGTAGCAACAACATACTAGTAGTAGCAAACACACCTAATGCCCAGATCTTGGATTCTAAATACCATTAAAAGGATTCCTTGGAGAATGTCTGGTTCCAGGCCTGGGTAGAGAAAGAGCAAGACCCACCTGGAATATCTCAGTGTGCCAAAAAGTAAGGTAATAATCAAGGGGTGCTGGGACATACCAAAAGGATACAGAAGCTAGTCTGAAGAGGCTCTCACTGGTCAAATTATGATAGCAGCAGATTATAATCCATTGAATAAAATAGGAACCTATGAGTCTATACTGATATAAATTAAAAGATGAATGGATAAATGAGAAGATAAGTCTCTTTCTTACAGTAGAAAGCTAATATATATAGAAGAAATTATGGCATTAGAAAAGTCACTGCTTGGAAACCATTACAGTAATAAATAATTTAGACAAAAAACATCAAGAACACTAAAATTAGTGAGCAGAAGTGGACTGAGGTATAAGATTGTACATAGTCTCAAAGCAATTCCCTATAAAAATATTTATTGATTATAAAGAGAAAAAAATTAGAGTAACCTGGCAAATTTACATGAACCACTTGATTAAATTAGCACCATTATTAATGGAACAAATACATATTATGTGTGACTTAATGCAAAGAACACAATGTCTGTGTTATTCCAGCCAAAAATACATAAACAGGGTCTAATCATGAGGGGAAAAAAAACAGAAAAACCCAAATTGAGGAAATGACTGCCTATGAACTTCAAAATGTCAAGGTCATTAAAATAAAGAAAAGACTCAGTATTTTTCAAGATTGAAAGACTTTAAAGAAACTTGACAAATGAGTATAGCACGTGATCTTGGATAAAATTCTTTGAAATAAAGGCTATTAGACAGGAAATAAAAAATTTTTAATAATTTAATTTTTGTTGTTGTTGAGAATATACAGAGAAAAACATACACTAATTTAACAATGTCTAAATATACAATTCAGTGACACTGAGTACATTCTTTGAGTTGTGCAACCATACTCACCTTCTTTTTCTGAGTTGGTCATCTCTCATAAACTTATGGCCCTCTATTGTTCTTATCTAATTTTTTGAATTGCTAAAATATTGTTTGATTTTAAAAAGACTTCAGGAGATATTTTTGGCTTAAAGATTATCTCAGGGCAATGGTTTTAGGACCTCATCCAGCCTCCATGGCTCCAGAAAGTCTGGATTCCGTGATAATTTGAAATTCTGTTCTGCATTTTCCCTCTTAGGATCAGGATTCTCTTATGATATCTTTGATCAACATACTCAGTAATGGTAGTTGGGCACCAAAGAGTTGATGAAATTTGGCCTGATGGAACCACTGAGACTATGACCTCCAGCTGCCCTTCAGGTCTGGAATTGAACCCACTCTGGTGGCTTCCAGCCAAACAAAAGACAGTCATATGAGTTGAACTTTTATACTAGGTAAATACACCCCTTGGAGAAAACAATGAGGGGAGAATAGAAGGGCTGTGTATGCATAGGGAGACAGCTCAGGGGACAGGAGTACATAGTGGGAAGGACACAGGGAAGAGGTAACTATATGAAGGAGGTGTGAAGGGAGTTGTTGCATTGTGGGAAATTGCAGTCAACGTCATGAGACAAAGTGTATGTGAGCTGCTGTATGGAAAGTGAATTTGCTCTGTAAACTTTCACCCAAATCATAATTAAAAAAAAAAAAAAAAACAGTTGATGAAATTTGAATGGGATCTCTGGGTGAAGGGTATGTAAAGATTTTTTTCAATATTTCTTTAAGTTTGAAACTATTTCCAAATGAATACTTTTTGAAACTTGAGAGGTTAGGATGATGATGCACAGCCTCTAGAACAGTGCTTGGCTCTTTGTAGGTGAAAGAATTTCCTGTAAAAAACCTTTACAGGCAAGGTGATGTCAGCAAAAATGTAGACCTCCAAACATTTTCCCCTCCGTAAGAGCAATGACAAAACTTGCAAAAATTGTCAGAATCAACATTTTCAGAACTTCGGAAATTAACCAAAGGCATGCAGCCACTCAGAAAGCATTTTTATTTGAGAAAAACAGATGGATCTTGGTTAAGAACCTTTGTTCCATTTTAATTTGCTCCAGTTCCATCCCATCTCCCATTCTATCACTCAGTGATTACAGTGAATCCAGCTTGGCATTCACTGAAGGAAGGGGGAAAAAAAAAGGAGGGAACTGTTTCAAAGCTTCATTCCCAAAAAATTGACACTATCTAATCTGGAAATGTCTATGGATGGCTTGAACATTTTGTGCTAGACTACTGACTTTAAGGTTGGCAATTCAAGCACATCTATCTACTGATGCCACAGAAGGAAGCCCTGGCATTCTGCTTCTGTAAAAATTACAGCCAAGAAAACCCTACGAAACAGTTCTACTCTGTAACACATGGGGTTGCGATCAATCACAATGGATTCAATGGCAATAGGTTGGGGTTTGGGGGTTTTGGTGGTTATTTCATTTGTCATTCCACTTTTGTCCTCTTTTCTTTCTTGATCAGTTTATGAATATTATCTTTAATACTGGTCTTTTCAAAATACTACCTTTTTAATTTACTTTCCATTACCAGTTTTCATTTCCTCGTTCATTAATTTTTTACTTTTATTTTCCTGCTTTCTGGGTTCCTTTGGCTGATTAGTCTCTCTCTCTTTTTTATTTTTCTTTCTAATTTTTAAAGACATACTGAGGTCCTAAAGGCCAAATCTGGTAGCATAGTGGCTAAGACACTTGCCTGCTAACCAGATGGCTGGCAGTTCAAACCCACCAGCCACTCCTTGGAAGGAAGGTTGGGCAATCCTACTTCTGTAGTGATACTGCCTCAGAAACCCAAGGAGGGGTCGCTATGAGTCAGGTTTGACTCGACGGCACATAACAACAACAAAGGCCAAATCAAGAGAAAACAAGAAGTGTTTGAGCAAGCAGGCCAGAGCTTTATGGGGTTATCTTGCCATGGTCCCTCCTGTTCTCCTAGGTGACTGATGATGAAAAGGGACTGTGGATGGCCCTCGTGGGAGGAGAACCCTGGTGTAGAACGGAACTCCAATGCCCTAGCCCCCTAGCTCTGGAAGATCTCTGGCAGGAAGAAAGTAGACAGGTATTACAAGTTTCCATGAGGCGTGTTTCTTTTCTTTTTTTATTGTGCTTTAGGTGCAAATTTACAAAGCAGATTGTTTTACATTCAAATAGTTCATGCACATTTGATTTCACAGCCCTGATTACAATTGCCAACCACAAAAAAACTCTTCTCCCTGTGACTACCCCCTCCCTGTGCCCTTCTTATCTATGCACTCCTGTCTGTCCAGCTTTCCCTCCATGTGAATGCTGCCCCTCTGATGTCTCATGGCTGACTGATCTGGGAGGGAGGGGACATCTCCCTGGGGTAGGTGTTCTCTGCATGTAGGTTTTTCTACTGTTGGGCTGAGAACTAATCCACGAAAGTGAGTCCATTTCTAGGCCCCGAAGGATAACCCAGGGCCATAGTCCCATGAGGCTTGTTTCTGATGAAGATTCAACTGTGTGACAGGTGTCGCTAATCCCTGTGTCATAGCTGCAATTGTGAAATCATAACTCTCCCCCTCATTCATCTTACTCATGCCAGGCCTCGGGAGTCAGAGTAATCAGGGCTAATGAAACATCTAGAGACAAGCAATGGGGATTCAATTTTGTGTAAGAGACATGGCCACATCTACCAGAAGGGTTAGGGGGTGGGTGTGAATCATCCTGGACTTCACAGATCTTGAGAAAAGAGATGTTAAAGCAGTGGGTGGGTGCCTTTATGCAAAGCCACAGGGAGAAACATCAGACTTAACTCACCCATGCATTTCCCGTTTAATTCTGATTATAGAAGGATGGACATTTCATTACAATTGTAATTGAGGATGTAGAGGAGACAATTGAATGGAGGGAGAAGGTGAAGGAGAAGAAACGCAGCAAGGTAGGTAGAACCTCCATACATGGAGAAATTCAGAATTTTACTATCTGTGTCCTGAGGGTGTGAGATTGTGCCTTTTATGGATCCAGAGTCAAAAATAATTAGAGGTCAACTCAATATTGGTTCATTTTCCCTTCATCCCCATCCCTGAGTCTCGGAGACATGGAGAGTGATTTGGGGAGAATGAAAGCCATCAAAAAATGTATGGGGCTGGGAGGTGAGAATATGGGGACTCTGGATTATAAAGTGGAATGTGCAAAATTTGTGAAGGCTGGGAGCAGAATATTGGGTGAGAATGCTGAAAATCCATCACAGTAGCAAAATACATTGCTGTGCCAATAGTGGTTTGGGATTGGAATTAGCAGAGAATTAATAGGCAAAACCATAATGAGGTCATATCTCTCAGACCAAATCAGCACTGAAGAGGTAGAGTATGACAGAAAAGGTCCCCCCCACCCCTACTGTACACTTCTGGTTAACAACTGTTTTTCACTTGATCCATACACCTGTGAGGTAGTCAAGAGGTCTGTAACTCTGAGTACCAGGTGATGTGTCCAGAATAGCAGAGGCAGATCACCATCCAGGTCTCCTAGCTTCAAGTCAGTATCCTGCTAACTCCCCTGACCTCTCTGACAAAGGGCTGACTACTGAGACAAACCAGGCCTCTTCTAGGAAGACCCTGGAAGTTGGTGGCAGGAAGATAAAGTGTCCTCTTTTATCTCTGCCTAGAGAAAGACAAACAAAAAAGAAAAGGCAGCTAGAAAGATCCAAGCCTGGTGGCGTGGCACCCTGGTACGCCGGACATTGTTGCATGCGGCCCTCAGAGCCTGGGTCATTCAGTGCTGGTGGCGGCTGACGCTGGCAAGACAACTGGAGAGAAGACGGTGGGCAGCCTTGATTGCTTATGCAAAGAAAGAGAGGGCAGTGGTTAAACTCCAGTCTTTGGTCCGTATGTGGCGCATTCACTGGCGATACTGCCAAGTGCTCAATGCTATCTATGTCATCCAGCGCCACTGGAAATGCCAAACCTGCCAGACCTGCTCTCTCCTCCGGGGCCACTGTGTGGTCACAACTACTCACCTGCAGTTCCACATTGAGATCATCAATCCCTAAGGGCTGGTGAGAAGGAACATTGTGTCTTCTGTCCACAGTAAAGGTCTAACTAACCTGGTTGGCTGTCTCCTGGTCTTCCAAGCACAGAATGGCATCACTAGGGTTGGTGTTACCAGTTCAAGAATTCATGGTGTCACCCTACATGGTGTCACTAGGGTTGGTGTCATCCAGTTTAGTAACTCACAGTGTCAACACCCCCACCCATGGACCTCTCCTCAAACCAAACCATTCAGAGTCCCTGGTAATATTTATCATAAATTTTAATCATAGAATAATATGTATTTATAGTTGCAAATTGCTTAAATGTAATATTTCTTAGATTATATGACTATTAATAAAAAAAAAACTGTTTTGTAAAATTGTCCTACAATGATTACATCAGCAACTATTAAAACACCAGCAGCAACAAAAACAACAGTACATGCTTGTAGGACATGCACATGAAACCCAATGATTCGAAGCACTGTTGTAACTGGGTAATAATGACAGTTCTTCTCAGGGCACATGTGAAGATTCAATAACTAAATTAGCATAGTTTTAGCCTTGTAGATATATTGCCACATGTAAGCTGGGCTTATGAAAAATGTTTTTGTTGTGGTTATAACTAACTATGGGAATGGTTTTATAAAATATAATTTCTGCTGAAATATCACACAAAAACTTCATACAGTCATTTCGGTGTCACCCCCTGTGACAGCATCACCCAGTGTGGTCTGCTCCCCAACACAATCCCAGTGACACCACTGCCCCAGCACCTAGGAATCTTGGGATTGAGGCCTTTCGATCTTCTCTTTTAGAAAATAAATTTGCCCCCTGTTCCCATGAACCCTGCTCTGGACTTACAATGGCCATATACCAGCCACCTAGTCGTCAAAACAGAAACTGAGGCCCCAGTTTGCTCTGATATATGGTAGATCCAGAGGTCCTACTTCCTGGTCCCAACTCCATTCCTGTTTCCTTGCCCAAGGATCTGGGAGATGGGTGGGCTGCATTGTCCTGAAAACTCTGGGCACCTCTGCACATAATAGACTCTGTCAGCTTGGAGGGTTATCTGGAGTCTGGGATGCATCAGTTTCCTCTTTGGCAAACACAGAGAGAGAATGCCAACATCAGACTGACTTGTCTGGGAACAGTACAGTACATTAGTGGGGGATGGGTTAACCTGGAGGATGACTCTGGGGACTAGTGGAAAACAGTTCAGGGCACCTCAGCTCTGTCTCCACAATTCACTCCCTAGAATTCCTCTCCCCAAGGAATGTATAACAAACAGGGCTCCCTCTGATATTACTCCCACCCTTATTCTTGTCTCCACTAGTCTCCTTGCTTCTTAACCTCTAATAAGCCATTTCTCATCCCCTCAGCTACTCACTGCTATGGTCATACTAAAGCAGCACTGTGCAATAGAATTTCTGTGATGATGGAAATGCTCTGTATCTGTGCTATCTAATATGGTAGCCACTAGCTATGTAGTTGTGGAGCACTTGAAATATGCCTAGTGCAACTGAAGAGCTGAATTTTTTACTTCATTTCATTTTAATTTCTCTAAATTTAAATAGTCATATGCAGCTAGTCCACCACTCATCTGACAGTTTGTCATACATACTGTGGTGGCTTATGTATTGCTGTGATGCTGGAGGCTATACCACCAGTATTTCAAATTTCAGCAGGGTCACCCATGAGGGACAGGTTTCAGTGGAGCTTCCAGACTACAATAGACTAGGAATAAGAGCCTGGTAATCTACTTCTGGGGGAAAAAATTGGCCAGTTAAAACCTTATGAATGGCAGCAGAATATTGTCTGATATAGTACCAGAAGATGAGCCCCTCAGGTTGGAAGGCACTCAAAATACAACTGGGGAAGATGTGACTTCTCAAAGTAGAGTCAACCTAAAGGACATGGATGGAGTAAAGCTTCATTTGTTAATATGACATGACTCAAAATGAGAAGAAAGAGCTTCAAATATCCATTAATAATCAGAATGTGGAATGTATGAGGTATGAATCTAGGAAAATTGAAAGTCATCAAAAATTAAATGGAACATATAAAAATTGATATCCTAGGCATTAGTGAGGTGAAATGGACTAGCATTGGCCATTTTGAATTGGACAAGTATATGGTCTACTATGATGGAAATGATAAATTGAAGAATGGTATTGTATTCATCATCAAAAAGAACATTTCAAGATCTATCCTGAAATACAATGATGTCGGTGATAGGATAATATCCATGTGCCAACAAGAAAGACCAGTTAATATGATTGTTTTTCAAATTTGCCCACCAGTGACTAATGCCAAAGATGAAAAAAATGAAGACTTTAATCCACTTTTTACCAGTCTGAAATGATTAAACATGCAATCAAAATGCATTGATAATTATTGGTGACTGAAATGGAAATGTTGGAAACAAAGAAGAAGGATTGGCAGCTGGCAAAGATGGCATGAGTGATAGAAATGACATTGGATGATAGAATTTCCCAAGATCAATGACTTATTCATTGAAAATACCTTTTTTCAACAACATAAACAGTGACTATGCTTGTGGACCTCACCAGATGAAACACACAGGAATCAAATTGACTATATCTGTGGAAAGAGACAATGGAAAGTTCAATATTATCAGTCAGAGCAAGGCCAGATCATCAATTGAACAGATCATCAATTTCTCATATGCAAGTTCAAGTTGAAGCTGAAGAAAATGTTTAAGTTCATGAAAGCCAAAGTACAACCTTGAATATATCCCACTTAGATTTAGACACTATCTGAAGAATAGACTTGATGCGATGAAAACTAATTGCTGAAGACATTATAAATGAAGAAAGAAAAAAATCATTAAGAAGATAGGAAAGAAAGAAAAGACCAAAATGGATGTCGGAAGAGACTCCAAAACTTGCTCTTAAACAGAGTAGCTGAAGCGAATGGAAGAAACGAAGATGTGAAAGATCTAAACAGAATATTTCAAAGGGTGGCTCAAGAAGACAAAGTAAAGTTTTATAGTGAAATATTCAAAGACCTGGAGTTAGAAAACCAGAAAGGAAGAACATGATTGGCATTTCTCAAACTGAAAGAACTGAACCAAAAACATTTAAGCCTCAGGTTACAATATTGAAGGATTCTATGGAAAATATATTGAATGATACCAAACAAACCAAAAACCAAACTCAGTGCAGTCGAGTGGATTTGACTCATAGCAATCCCTCCTTGGGTTTCTGAGACAGTATCTCTACTGAAATAGATTAACCCAGTCTTCTTTCTGAGGAGTGGCTGGTGGGTTTGCACTGCCAGCCTTCTGGTTAGCAGTCAAGTGCTTTAGGCACTACACAACCAGAGTTCTCATTTATAAATACAGACAAAAAATTCCTCAATAAAATGATAGCAAACTAAACACAGCCACATACTAAAAAGATTATACACCAAGCAAAATTTATCCCAGAAATACAAGTGTGGTTTAACATATAAAAAACAATTAATGTAACACAACACATTAATAGAATGAAGAATACCACATGATCATCTCAATTGATGCAGAAAAAGCATTTGACAAAATCCATCTCCTTTTGTGATAAAAACACATGTTGTTAGGTGCCATCGAGTCATTGTCAACTCATAGCAACCCCATGCACAGCAGAACAAAACACCGCCCAATCCCACGCCAGCTCCATGATCCTTGCTATACTTGAGCCCATTGT